TGGACACCGGACAAAATATGATCAGAACCTTGAGCAATTTACTCTGATGAGCATCAAATGGACCAAAGAAACTCGAAACCTGATTTGTAAGTCAACAATATCAAGAGACATACCAAAAATTAGCTCATTATCTACCGGTCTTGTAGAGTAGGAATTCCTCTCTAACCCCCCCCCCCCGGAAAAATGGCTCAAGAGTAGGATCCCCCCCCCCGGAAAATAGACTCTAGAGTAGAATTTCCACCACGGAAAAATGACTCTAGAGTAGGATATCCCCCACGGAAATCCCACATCAGATTCAATTTCCGGTACAAGCAAAGGAAAAAGTACAGAAAATTTACAATGCCAAAGTGTGGACATTCATTTTATAAAATACTTAAATTAAAAAACAAATGAATTTATCTTTCAAGAAAAAATAATTAACGGAGTGCATTAACATTTTTTTTTCAAAACTTGAAAACCCGTGCTTGTATATATATTTTTTTTTAATTAAGAAAGATGAATGAGCTCTGAATGAAAATGAAGAAATAAAACTGAAATGAAACGATAAAAAAACAAGAGGCCCATGGGCCACATCGCTCTCCTGAACACTGTGGCTAGAAAAAAAGCAAATATCAGTTCAGTATTGAAAAGCTTTAATGCATAAGTGGTCCCAACCTACCCCTAAAAAGGTCGGGGGAGGGGCGGGGGGGGGGGGGAGTTATGATGTGAACAAAATTGAATCTACACTAACTAAAGATGCTTTTATATTTCTTTGACTAATTGTGACTTTTTTCACTACAAGTTTGAACTTTCATTATGGTCTCACCCTACCCCCGGGGATCATAATTTGAACAAATCTGAATCTACACTATCTGAGGATGCTTCCATATAAATATGTCTAATCATAGCTTTGCTCTTCTTCAGAACAAGATTTAAAGAAAAAATGTCCTATGTATTCCTATGCATAACTTTAATCATCAACTATGACCCCTACATATCACCAGAGAGGTCATGATTCAAATAAAAATCTACACTACCTTAGGAGACTTCCTAGTAGTTAATAACCAATCATGGCTTTGCTGTTCTTGAGAAGATTTTTTAATATATATTTCTATGTAAAACTTTGATCGTCCATTGTGGCCCCATCCTACTCCTGGGGGTCAGGATTTTTACAAAATTGAATTTAATCTACCTGGGGATGAGTCCAAATGAGTTTCATCTTTCCTGGCCCAGTGGTTTTTGAGAAGATGATTTTTAAAGATTTTTCCTATATATTGCTATGTAAAAATTTGATCATCCATTGTGGCCCCACCCTTCCCCCTGGGATCATGATTTTAACAAAATTGAATCTACACTACATGAGGATGATTCCACATGAGTTTCCTCTTTCCTGGCTCAGTGGTTCGTGAGAAAAAGATTTCTAAAAAGATGCCATTAATTTTTCACTAATTTGTAATTATCTCCCCTTGGAAGAGAGTGTGGCCCTTCATTTGAAGCAACTTGAATCCCCTTTACCCAAGAATGCTCTGTGCCAATTTTGGTTGAAATTGGTCCAGCAGTTCTTGAGAAGAAGATGGGAATTGTGAAAAGTTTACAAGGACAACGACGACAGACAACGAACAAATTTCGATCAGAAAAGCTCACTTGAGCCTTCGGCTTAGGTGAGCTAATATGTTTATACCCGGTACCATGCTAACATTCTTAGTTTGAATTTTTAAATCTTGATTGCAAATTTTAATATTTATGCATATTTTGTACCAGCAATGATTTTACATAACAGTATCCTGTAATCTTGATTCTGAATATCAAAACAGTTGAAATTCCTATAGATAATGACTCTTAACTCTAAATAGGTTACATTGGTTGCTATGTGTTCAGAATCGTTGCCATGTGAAAATCAAGTGAAAAATAGAATTTTATAAGATGCTAATTGCATTGTAAAATTTGCCTAATCACAGTTTTACAACATGCTTTGAAGAATCCTTAACAACAGGTATGTGAACATGCTAAAATTATTATTCTATGGTATGTTGCTAAGGGGAAATTGCTGTTACCATGGAGATTACAAATTGTAAAACATTCCATAGTTTGCAGAGAGGTCTCAAAAATTTCAATTTATTGTAAAATTTGTTTTGAGTATTCCAAGATAACAAGTTATGTGATTTATGACTTAAGCATTTTACATTTTTTCTCTTTTTATTCATCAAAACATCCGTTTTTGTTGCTAGGCAACGGATAGGAATGTTTAAAAATTATACGCTTCTGAATTCAAATTCTAAAAGACAAAATCCTCTGCTTTTAAGTTATATACACAGGATGTCTGTATGAGGTCCATCACTGGAGAAATTAGACATTGAATAATTCCAAAATCAAGGAAAATGCTGAGTCAGCAAAAAAGGAAAAACATGCATATATTCCCACATCTATCACAGATATATCTTTAAATCTTATTTCTATATTTTTGATTGTGAAAACTGTTACAATTATTATCTTTAGAATAACAGAAATGAAAAAGAAATTCTTTTAGTATTTACATTTAATTTGAGCTTGAAAGATAAGAGATTTTTTAGTCCATCGAAGCTGAAAATTGGCTGGTTGCTAGGGAAATTTCTTTACCGATGTTTCCATGGTAGCCGTGAATCAAAACATTTTTCCTTTTGCATACATGATTCATAGGGCAAAAGAAAATTCTGGGTGGAAAATCATCAAATTCCGAGAACCCTCATATATCACCTACTTGCCTATTTTGCATGATTTTTACAAAGAACTGTACTTAACTTAAAGATTGTATTTGCTGACAAGGTCATTGGATCGAACCGAGGTCCCGTGTCGCAGTAGGCATTTGCACGAAAAAGATCCCTCACTGCTCAAAGGCCCTAAGTGCCGAGTATAGTTCTAAATTTGCAAGTGGTAGTGAAAAATTCTCTTTTGGATTGTGATGCTTTAATTCTGAGTCCTTTGTCGGAGTATACATATGTAAAAATTAAAAGAAAAGTTGAGATATCAAGTGAAATAATCTGGTGGTATCTCAATTTTTTACGCAGATATTATAAAGATTTCAAGTAAGAATCTGTCGACTGTCTTTGCAAAAATTACAGGAAAACACGTCGATCTCCGACGCAAATAACTATGGGTACTAATACAGCAGGAAACTATGTAACCAGTGGACAGCAAACATCCTCTAACGTTAATTGATCAGAACCAAGATAGGGTATTTTTGTTTAATTGGAATGAATAAAATATATGTCTATCCAGATTACTTTAAATTTTAAAGAAATGGACAGCAATGCAATATACTGAATTATTATATAGTCTATAAATAGTCCCTATATAATCTATACAAACGCAAACAGTTCATAATACTACATATTCACTGGATTTGAGGCCGTATTCACCGGAGGGTGAGTGCGCGTGCAGTGGCATTGTGACGTCACAATCAATACCTCAAACAACGTTGAAAACAATGGTTTCAAATGCCAGAGCCAGCTCTGTATCAGAGCAGGAAAAAAGTTGGGCAAGTCTATCGCAAGATTATTTTCCAAACATTTCGATGACTTACACACAGCAAAAGGGAAAAAACGGAAGTGTTCAGCTGTTATCTGGACATTTTTTTTTTATTTTTCGACGACAAAGGTTCGTTATTGAAAATTATATCGCAATGCAGACTTCGATGTCTTATTTTTTCAAAGCCTGACTATATAATAAAACAATTATGGACTCTTTTTGTGGTTAATATGGTTTGTTATTCACCAGAAAAAATATCAATATTGACCTCGGCTTCGCCTCGGTCAATATTGATATTTTTGTGGTGAATAACAAACCATATTCGCCTCGGTCAATATTGATATTTTTCTTGTGAATAACAAACCATATTCACCACTGAAAGAGTCCATAATTGTATAGTATGCCATCAAATATTGCTATATCGCATTATAATTTTTCTGGCGATACCCACCCCTAGCTTTAATCCAAGTTCATTCCAAAGTTTCTCTAAATCATTTGTATCATTTTTGCACTATGACATTCAGTCCTCCTAAAAGCTCTTCAAACGTACTTGTCCCCACTCTGAGAAAGATAATTCGTCCTCAGTTTCAAGTTCTCTCATAACCCGGCATTGCGATCCGTGGCCTTATCCGATGCCTTCTATTTTATTGTCCCTGTGGATGCTCGTTGTGTGAAAATTTGGAATTCGCATTGTCATTTTCAGCGATTCCTCCAAATAATGCAGCAATAGAAGCCTCCGCACGGTAGCTATTATCTTAATCACCCAGTTATATTTAGGTATTTAAACAACCCTCTCTGTATACTGTAAGTACTCAAAAAATGTATAGTCATATGAACTCATCATATGTGGTAGAAATATCGTGAACCTGCATAATCATAGAAAGGTCGTAACGCGAACATTGCATAGTGGTGTCAAATTTTACATAAATCTCCACAATTCGTCCGAGTACCGTACATACCTAGTATATTGTTGAACGGACTTCGAAGTCGTACTGTACAAGACTCGAAAATAACTCTCTCCGTAAAAAGAATGCAATATGTCCTTAAATATACATTATATCAGAAAGCTTTCAAATAAGTGTATTTTTTTTTTTTGCCTAGTGGTTCAAGATTTTTAAAGACGCTCACCCTATACTGCTTTTCTTGATTATCTCCCCTTTCAAAGACGATGTGGGCCAATTTACCTTCAAATGCTTTATGGCAGGTTTAGTTGAAAAATTATCCACTGGTTCTTGAGAAGTGATCGAAAATGTAAAAAGTAGAAGAGGGACGGTCAGACAGATGGCAGACAAAGGGTTGTCAGAAAAAAAAGCTGAATTGAACCTTTGGTTCTTTTAGCTATATAAAAATGAAATCAAACATGGTCCTGTTTGATTTAGTATGACATACATTTAAATGAAAGATAATGAATTCCACAATTAAATTTTGGAATGGTTGTATCTCCCATTAGTCAAAACAATGTTCTGAGACTTTTAAATAGTTTTTTGTCAATTTATAAAGTTCCCCTAGCTACTCACGTATTTGACATCGATTTCCCGAGTATCCAGGATAACAAGAGCACTGCTGAGGTCGGTAGCATCTTCCATGTTGACATGGTGGAAAACATATCGCTAAATAAAATTTCATTTTTGAGAAATAATATTTCTCCAAAATGTTACATTACAAGAGACAAAAGAATGATTTTAAAGGTAGAAATACGTACTTATTAATCAAAGATTTTAATATTTTTATATAGCAGTTAATTATGTGACTCACGCCTTTCACAATTGTTTCCCGAATAACCAGTCGGACATCGACACACACCAGGTGCTACACAAGTACCGCCGTGTTGACAATGACAAATCGCTGAAAATTTTATTTGTTCTACTTTTAATATCTAGGAAATATGCAGTATCAATATTACTGAGGACAATTATAAATTGCAGACATAATTAGTCTTCTTACGTGTGGTACAATCGGACTGATACCCAGGACAACACCGTCTCGCTCTGTAATAGCTACTTCTTGTACATGATCTCCACATTGTACTAAACAAATTTTAAATAAAGCTTTACATGTGGTGTACCCAGATCAGATAGGACAGCAGTAATCAGGTTAATATATATATATATATATATATATATATATATATATATATATATATATATATATATATATATATAAAGCAAATATCAAATCAAACAATTATAGATGTTCTATTTATCTCATATCTCATACATAAATCATATGTTCGTTTTTAACAGACTTTGAGATAATGCCTGTGAAACTATGAATGATTTCAACCCAAATCGATGACGCGTAAATTGATGACGTCGCACTGTTGACGTTGGCATGTCCAAAGAAAGTTATTTGTAGATCATGAGTGTACAGAATATGAAATCTTGTAATCCTTTAAAGACGTATGTGACAATCTGTTCGAGATTTATCTCATACACACTTTTGACTGAAAGTTCTACAGTGTTGTACCTATAAGGAGCAAGGAATCATGATTCGTCCTCTGGGGTCATTCTGTGCACGACAGTGCCTAGGCTACTTGTACATGTAGATCCATTGTAAATTATATAGTTAGTATAATGTAAGAAAGCATTGCTGAAAGTAGCTAGACTTTCCTGCATGGTAAAAGGAATATTCCAACAAAAACTTAACTGCTAGGTCTAACGTTTCCTATGAGAGCGATTGTGTGTGTGTGTGTGGGGGGGGGGGGGATCCTTCATCGCAGTATCCAGTACATTGATAAATTTTGACTTTTCACTTATGTGACAGTGTAATGAGTTTTTTCCTTATTTTTAACGAATATTTTTGCTCATCAGCATTCATTTGACAGCACAAAACTTTCACATTTAGAAGTTTCGATAAATTTACATCCCGAAAATGCTGAAATGAGGCCGAGAAATTGTCGAAACCGGAAGTGTTATTGATAAAGCACATACCCGTGGATAAAGCATAGGTTTATCTTATGGGTAGTATCTAGTATCCACCACACGTATGAGATGAATATATATATATATATATATATATATATATATATATATATATATATATATATATATATATATATAATTTTATATATAAAATGCTTGGAAAAAACAAAAATTATCAACATAGTTACACACTTTGTGATTAATACTAATCAAATGCTTGAAAAAACGAAAATTATCAACATAGTTACACTCTTTAATTTGTGATTAATACTAATTAAATGCAATTTTAACTTGGACTTCGTGATCGGGAGGCTCGAGTACGTTCGCCGCGCCATTCTCGTTCGCCGCACCGCGTCAGACCTAAGACGTAAACGTAGGTAGTGACTCTTCCTTCGCCAAGCGCCCGGCACTAGAAGTGAAAGTCACGGGTCTTCCGGATGATACCTTAATTATAAAAACCGAGGTCACGTGTCACGGTAGGCGTTGGCACGATAAAGAACCCTCACTGTTCAATGGCCCTAAGTGCCGAGTATAGGTGTAAATTTAAAGCCCTTCACCGGCATACGGTGGCGTCTCTATATGAGTGAAAAATTCTCGAATGAGACGTTGAACAACATACAATCAATCAATAAACTTGGAAATTTAAGTTTCTTACCATCCCCACCAACCATGACAGATACACTCGTTCACTTGATAATATGAGACCTGAGTTACCAGTGTGTAGCAAGGAGAACCACTGAAATAAAAACAAGTATTTCTTTCTTTGCCAAACCATTCTCGATAGTAAATTATTTACACATGTATCCTCTATTTAACAACTAACTGGGATTTTAACGAGGCCCAATCTAGATGGAAATTATGAAATCGGACTTAATGTGAATTTTTAATATAATTATATTTATATGTACCATGCTAAAAAAATTGCAATGAAAGTTTGTTACCTTGCCTTGATTGTAGTGGAATGGGGGGCAACTTCAAAATATCGACAATTTTTTGTGGTTTAACACACAATTATATGCTAAAATTACATACAAACAATGGAATTGATGAATAAAAAAAAAAAAATAAATAAATGGTGAAATGTTTTGCTTTTCACATATATTATGCAATATCCATTCTTCATTTAAAAAAATGAAAAGAAATGTGGAGGTAGCCTTTATTGTAGTGAAAAAGGGACATATCAAAACACAAAAATAGGACTTTAAATTATATCTAAGTCGCGGTAGGTTTACTTGATATCAAGAAATGATTGTTGTATTATGTATGCTTCTCAAAATTAAATGCTCCTTACATTATGAAAGAATTCTCTTTCTTAATATCTTTATTTTTTCTAACATAAAACAACGTTTTACGTGGTATAAGAAGAAGGGGGGGGGGGGTATAAAGGCAATAAAATTAAAGTTTGTTAATATGAAAAAAAAAAAAAAAAAAAAAAACTAAATTATTTCTCCTTGCTTGAATTTAAATGTTTCGTAGAATTTTTTTTAAAATCAATCTACTGCATGCGTGTTTAGGTTATCAACAAAATTGGTAAATAAACATTCTCAAGGAGAAAAACTACATGTGTTTACTTTAGGTAGCATTTTCAACTCAAAAATTCAAATAAGATGAAACTTATAAATTTTACTTAGAAACTCACAATATCTCAAAATAAATTATGTTACAAAGTTGCTTAATTATAAAAACATTTAATTATTTAAACACAAGAATTGATAGAAAAAGTTAGCTTTCAATACGCACAGTTAAGACCTACCAGGAATGCAAGAATAGCGAAATATTTTAGCGTAATTTAATGTCGTTTTAATTGTGATTTTATTGTATTCAATTGCAATCAAGGGTACTGTGACGCGTCTGAAACAACGCTGCGTGAAAACGTATGCGTAGACCAAGTAGATTGGGCCTCGTTAAGAATCTAAAAACATTTTTTTACATGTAGTTTTACGTTTCAGAAACAAAGCAATATTTTGGCGACAAATCTTTTGTTTTCATTTTCTATTAAATTCCTACGAAAATGCTGAAAAAGTACCCCTTCTATGTATCACACACGTACAAGACCAAAAAAAAATCGAAACCCCAACAAATCACTTACCATATAGCTTTCAGCAATGAAGCAAAACTTAGTCCCGTAAAAAAAATATTGAAATTAGATAATGATATCATTCTTAAATTTCTTAAGAATTTGGAAGGAGTTTGCATTGTTACTGAATTGGTATCTATCTTTATAGTAAATAAATGGTTGCAAGGAGGAAGTTAAAAAAAATTATCCAATCATTTTGTCGAAAAGGAAAACTGTTTTCTGTCTTATCAGTACATGATAATATGGAACTTAAATGTTCAAATTTGTTTAAATTAGAATATATGCTGGGTGATTTCAAATAGTCTAAATTAATGTTTTCATAGGCGTGTAAACTCACAAGGTCCTCTATTATTGAAATGTTTATGCAATACCAATAAATGTATATACATATACATGTTTTGCCTGGGCAATCCCATTTCAATAAAATCCGTTTAAAACATTTAAAACCTTGCAGAGCAACTGACAAAAAAGAATGAAACATTTTGATGAATAATCAGGATTTTAGCAAAAAAATATCCTATCTTAGCCCCAGTGGGTGAGGCCTTAACCTAATTCATGAACACAATAGACACAACCTTTTTAAGTATAGAAGGTATTGCGGCATCCAATTGGTTGTTGCATGAAAAAAAGTTGTCGATAAGGAACAGTGATCGATCTAAAAAAAATCAACAAACAATACAAATCTGTTAACATGACATAAAGCAGGTTTCCCTAGAAATTCCATAGGTGGGATCAGGTGCCTAAGAGGAGTAAGCCCCCCTCCCCCTGTCTTCATTGTTGTTAATTTGAGTTGGGAAAATACAGTGATACAAATGAAGTCTTCAATAGATTTATCTTGGCCTTTCAAAATGCTAAGAATGCTTGACTTGATTACAAACTGAGCAATTCACTGTAGATTTCAAATAATTTTCTATTTTAGATCAAAGGGCACATTACTCTAATTCCATAAAAATACCTCAAAATCAGAACTCTTTAGTGTGCAGTGTATAGATGGTTCTTAAGGACATTCATACATTAAATATTTAATCCTCATCAAGTGATTTGAGAGGTTAAGCAATAGGATTTATTGTATAAAACAGGTATATCTCTCCAATGAAGATTTTCTTAATTTACTAAAAGATTATGTAAAACCATTTGTTCAAATTGTCATAATTCACTTAAAAACAAAATACCTGCACCGCGCCTTGAATGCCAAAAAAAAAAATTATTAAACATTATTCCTTTTTCGTGTAAGCTTTTCAGAACAGTCGGGAAAGCTTGACGAAAGAGTAAACGGGCAGGTAGGGGAAATACCCGATGATCTAAACAAATAGATTTATCATCATATTATCATAATTCGTGACTGAAGGTTTTCGAAATATTACTTAAATCGATTAAATGTTTATGTCAAGCTGAAGAAATGATCAATGTTAATATTTACATTTTATCATCAATCGCTTAAGATTATCTTCCGAGACGGTTCTTTTTATTTTCGTCACGTGGTAAGAAAAGATAAATGAAGTGTCTTAAGGAGATGGAGAAACCGTGAAAAAAAGAATGCAAATTTCACGTTCATTTTTTTTTCTTTATCCGCACAACCTACAGTAGAAATTTCCAGAAATAAAATCAATTTTGCTCAGCCAGTCAGAAATCAAAGACATTATTAGACAAAAACAAAAGCTTTGCTGTCTGCATAGTCGATACTGATAACAGACTGATCAGATTAAAATTAAACTTTTAGCATGTTTATTTAAAAGAAGATTTTGCTCGAGTTGATCTCATTTATATGAACAATAACAGTGATTAGGTTGAATACACTCGAACATGTTTCAGATTCTGTCCCTTAAAAAAATTATAATAGTTCACTATTATAATAGATAACTATAGTTTACTATAGTTAACTATAGTAAAAACTTTCAAACTTTGATTAACTAAGAAAGAAGATGGGCGTGTTTGGCGTGTGATCTGCAGAAATAAGGCGTACGAAACATTTATAGTTTAAATATCAACGGTTTGGTCGCTGACCACAGCTGGACATACATTACGAAGTTAGGCACATGGGAAAATATTACATTTAGTTTGAAATACTTTGTCAAATTTAATATATCAGTCCACTCATCCTAATAATAACTACGTGAAAAACTTGGTAACACTTCACATAAATAATAAACACCTATAGGATATAGTTTAATGACATTACATGTATATATTAAAGTATCAGTAGGTTGGAAGAATTGCTTTCGCTTTTGGTGCAACAGAACCAGAATTTATCTATTTGAAAATAAATCAGTACATAAAGTTAAACTGACAAAGAAAAAAGATCTATTGTTTATACTAAAAAAAATATTAACACTCACAACTCTAGAACCTTTTTTGAGATTTCAAAGCTTTAAATCTCTCAATTTCGATAACAGTAATGTAAAATTTGGAAGTAATAAGTGAGTATACAAGTAATAGTTCCATTTAATATATAAAAAAATGTGCATTTATGAACTTGAGAACATAAAATATAACATTCTGAAATCCATAGTAAAAACACTTTGATTAACTATAGTAGTACAACTTTGATTTAGTATAGTAAGGCGACCATAATTTGATTTTTAGTTTTAGGGACCCACCTAAAAATTTGCATTTTGAAAAAAATACCCGGAATTTTTCAAGCCGCTCGTGTCAAACCCGTGTTTTATAAAAATTATAGCAAATCATTCAGATACATAAAAACACGTGGTGGGCATCGTTGGATTGGTTTCATTGTTTTCAAAAGCCAAAATGCACTTTCAAACAGTTCAGGGATTTATCAGTACCTTTTTAGGGGCCGAAATTCGTCCCCATTCCCAATTGAAAATGAGTTCAGTTTTTCCCACTATTTGGCAGTGTTTTTCCCAATAGATGAACAATGCTTTTAAAATTAATTATCTTGGAAAAACACAAAGTAAAATTGTCAGATTGTCTGTAATTTTCATCTATTTAACTCATTCAGCAAAGCTACAGTCATAACACGTGTTTAAAAACACTATAAAAACATCGCCAACTTTTAATCCGAATTTCCTCTGTTTTTCTAAAAATGGTGATATTGTGTAATTATATAGAGTTATTAAGTTATTTCTATCTATTCAATTGATCTACGAATGAATCGTAAGGACTGTAGGCATTATTTCAGATAGAAAAATATATTTTTAATGCATTAATTCATACATGTATTAGGCCTAAAAGAGGACTTTTAGAAAATGTGTACTTAGTATATTTTTTGCAGCTCCAGAAACAGATTCTATAATGACCTAAATTGGAATCTCATACACACATGTACTACCCTAAGTTATATAAATACTTTATACTCAGTCATTGAAGTGGATTTTACTTTTATTAGTCTATTATTCATAATTGATCTTGTATGATGAAGTTGGATCATATTTAATTGTCTGTCTGGTTGCCCAAATTAGAGTTCATGCTGAAATGTTAAATGAAATACACCTGAGTAAATGATTTAAGCAACATTTTAATTATTTCCATATTCCCCAAAAATGGCGTTTCCAAAAATAGGCTGATAAATCCCTGATTAACAAATTCATCAAATGCAAAACAACAGACTGTGTTGGAAAATAGTGTCACAAACAAAAGTCGCTTGACAGTTATAGAAAATTCCGTGTATCTTCACAAAATTATGTATCAATACATAATAA